TTAAATGTTTTTCTAGAGACAAATGTATTTTATAAATTATATAGAGTGTCCCAAAATTATGGTACTTTCAGGAAATGAGGGGTTCCTGAGGTCATTTGAAGTAACTTTTTCCTTAGCGAAGATACAATCCGCGGCTTTGTTTACGAGTTATTAACGAAAAACAGTGTCCAATGAGAGGCAAGATCGGCTGGCGTGAAAGAACCGAATCAATGAGCGAAACTGAGCTGCGTCCGCTCGTTGGCTCGACAGCTTTGCGCCAGCCGAACTCGCCTCTCATTGGTCACTCGTTATTGTTAATAACTCGTGAACGATGCCTCGGAGAAAATTTTTGAAAAGGAAAATGACCTCAGGAACCCCTCATTTCTCGGAAGTACCATAATTTTTGGATACCCTGTATAAATAAGTAACGTATAAGCCAGCATTAAAACAGATACGAACTTGAAACAATCAATTCTAATTTATTTTACGTTTATGTTAGAGAGAACACTGTTAGGTTTATCATCGTTAACCATGACTTTGAAAATAATTTTCGATTACTAAGATATTAATAAAGGCTACTGCAAAAAATATGTGGTAAATGGTTTTCCTGCTGTTTATTTAAATTTTATAGAAATCGTAGTCAGAATCTGACACAATTTTGGCACTATCGATGCACATCCACGTTTGAAATTGATATCCTGCGTACTAAATTAACTTTGAATACATTGTTCAACCATTTGAAACCGAGTTACGTTGATATTATTACAACCAGTTACGCATGATTGAAAGTATCGCTAGATGTAGTGCATAATACGATATGCCCGGTTCGATTCGATTCATCAGAAAGCATTTGAACCAAAACTTAAATGCTAAACAAATGTTTACGTCGTAACAAGCCAAATAGCGCGTTGAGTGGCTTAAATGGAAGATGTGTTTAGCTGAAAACGACGTTTATCAAAATGATGTACTCGATATCTCTATTCCTTTTTTTGTGGGGAAGAAGGGGAAATGCTATTACGCACAGGGTGGGGGACTCTCCGAGTCCAAGGCTTCGGTCCTCGAGTCTTCTCCGTAACCCTCTCCCCCCTCTCCAAAGATAGTTCGCGAAGCCGAAACTGTGCTAGAATTACTTCGGCTCCGGGGTTGTGCTATTTCGTGCCTGTCGAGTGTTCCACATTTTGATACTTTAGTGGGCCTCAGCGGTCCATCCGGAGGACTCTGTGGCGTCGCATCCCTCTGCCTGAGCGCGGCCGCTAGCAATAAAACAAGTACCGTTCCTAATCCTCAAAATTCCCTAATAAAACAATTCTGCTCACATCTGGACACCTCGACCCGCACGGGACTTTCCCAACTTTCTCCTTTCCTACGAAAGTCAATCTATTCCTTTCTTCTCTTCCACTATAAAAGAGACAAACGCGCAACTCAAAAAGCTCAGTCTGTCCTAAGTTGCTAGTCCTACGACGACACGTTAGTCGTGCCCGTGCTCATCGATAGCAATTCAATAAACTGCATTAATAGTAACCTTAAATACGCGCTCCGATTCGCTAACCTTCCCTTCAGTGCTAAAACTCGATATCTCTATTAATATTGATACGATTGCGGTAAATATTAGTATTTTGTTTTCATTAAAGATTCAGTTAGAAGACAAAACCTAAAGAGATCATTAATTCAGTCGTTTTTGCGCGACGCTTATAATGCCCTTCTTTTAACTATTACAATTTTGTTATCAGTTCACATTATTCTCAGATAAAATGGCAAAACCGCCGGTATTTAGCATTTCTATAGTCCACATCCGCAAATGATGTGCTTTAGCGAGTTACAATGCTCTTTAACAGGGCGATAAATAGCACGGGGGATAATTCCGTGCATCAATTCAAATGAGATGGCTGTATATGTATACTTTATGCCGCGTTGCTTGTCACCGTGATAATCTATCTTTTGTGTCATTGATATCAACTCGATACCAACCCCGTAATCATATTATCTCGGTGTTACGTGTAACAGCGTAACACGAATTTCGTTAATGTGTCTGAATTTATATCTGTATACATTTCGCTACCGTATCTGTTGAATGTCATACCACGATATTAGGAAATTGATTCTCAGTGACATTAACATGTTGAATGGCGTGTCAGCAACATACGGGTGACAGAAGAAATTTGAGATTGTTTTTTAAGATAAATTTAAATTAATTTGTTCTTAAAACAAATTATCGTAATCATATACTCAGTTCACCAAATTTGATTGTATTCAGTACCATACATGCTAACATTTCAATTTCTATTTACTTAATACTTGGGTAACGGGACTCGGGTCCATTTGGACCCAGAGTAAAAATATTGTTGTCGTTCCAGTTTCTAATCGTTAATTTACATTTTCACTTATTCCATTAAAGTCAAGCGTGTACAAGAACTATCTTAAAAAATATGCAGAAAAGAACTGATGGATACAATTATAAATAATTCCAAGTATACTCGTTGTTATATTTGTATTATAGGTCGTTGCATAACTTATGTCGTATTTTCTGCTTATTATTTCGAACATTTCACGATTGTTAAACTAATTCGAGCAGAATTTTTGTCGATGCTTCCGTTTATAATTGGCTATTGTGTTTGGCCTAT